GTAGAAAAATTCGAGTGATAGAAAGGCTCAAATCACACGAGTTAGGGATAGCTTTTACCTAAAGTTAAGTCATGTATCTACTTTTTTTTATCTTTCTTAAGCTCTCTTTGTCCTCGCAAACGACAGCTTCATTCATGCAACGCGCTCCTCACATAAATTTTCTACGAACTGGCATTTAAGGCTACAATTGCTTCTGCAAGGTATTACGACGGTCTGCGAAGCTACCAACTAATGTGACATGGTACATGAACGCATACGTGGAATCCAGGGCAGCACGACGCGGTGGTGCGTTGGAGCTGGCCTAACATGGCAAAAACGAGTTGGTTATGCCAGGTTGGCGTGAACTGTCTTATCTAGGTTACGTTAAAGAATGGTTTGTTAATCTGGCTCTTTGGATAAATAAAGATTACATGGGAAATGAATATGTAAATATAACGATATTTTCATTGTTTAGGTAGGAAAATAAAAACCTTATCCAGTCATAACTTCTCTTGGATGCCATCTCACGGCCAGTCAACATCCCACTAGAACCCTTCCTTCACAGTTAACCAGCTATACCTCCAGTCTCTACACATTTACTTGTTTTGTTGCAACTCATGGAGTAACAACTAATCATCCTTGCACTATTCGATAAGGAACATGAGATCATCACAAAGATGAAGAGGAAGTTGAGGTTGTTTAGGTCTAACGCCTCTCTCTCTCTCTCTCTCTCTCTCTCTCTCTCTCAAGGTAAGGCATGAAGAAACAACCTATGGCAAGCAGGTGAGCTTAGCAGGAGAGCCTAAAGACAAGAAGGATGATTCATTTGGCTGGAACACTATATGTTTCGATAATTTAATAGAGAATATTAAAAAATTATCATCACTCTAGTGACCATTTGTAGTTTTATAAAAAAAAATTGAAAACGTCCTTCGAATACGAGAGAAAACATCAATTTACGACTGAAAATCTTTCTCACCCCTCTAAGCTGAAATATTTTCTTGGAAGATTGTAAGCTGAAATATTTTACGGCCTTACTTTGTCACAAAATTAGTAAGGATGTCCACATTCTTGGAGGGTGCCTCTTCCAAATCCCAAGAAGAAACGGAGCACAAGAGCCAAAAACCCCTAATTTTTTACAATTTGGCACTTTTTTGAAGAAAAATTATGTTTGCCCCCCTGAGACGTAAACTTATCTTTAGATCCTTGTGGTCAGCGTCAGGACTCATGGCGCCGAGGTAACACTTCTCGGCGCCACAGATCTTGGCTCCGATGTGCCTGGCCGTGCACAGCAGGGCATCCTAGGTGGCGTTAACGTGGCCGGTACCTCGGCGCCACAGATCTTGGCGCCGACCTCGGAGATGTCAGATGATGTGCTGCGACGGAGGTGATGAGACGTGCAAGCGGTAGTAGGCCCACACACCACACACTGCTCTCCTATCCTCCCCGGTAGGTGCCTGCCACTCTGTCATCATGCGCGTGCTCGGTGCATGCTGCTTTTGCCCCTGCAGGTGGAGAGCTGTAGCGTCAAATCATCTAGCCCCTACTCGTCCCAAATTATCTCGCGCTTTAGGTTTTCGTGCTGCAAATTTAACAAAATACGTGCAATATTTGTATCTCCAAATAAATTTATTCAAAAACTAGATTCAAAGATTTTTCCAACGATACCAATTATGTACCATAAATATTAATATTTTTTAATATATATTTTGTCAAAGTTATTTCTCGGGAAACGAAAACGATAGATAGTTTGAGACGGAGGGAGTACCTGTTCATGGATATTCATTCCGCATCTAGCCCCTACTCATGTACGTATATGTATATTCATTTCTTTAGTAAGAGCATTGAACCATATTTTACTACTTCAGTTTAAGTGTAAGTTCTGTATTTAACTGGTGTAATTTTTTGATATTTTTTAATTTGTTCCAATTTGCTTGTTATAGAACTAATCTGAGTTTTTTTCTATATATTTTTTTAATTTGTATGTTCTATTTGATATTTTTGAATTTCTTCCAATTTGCCATTCATAGAACTAATATGTTAAATTTGTATGTTTTATTTGTTTTCTATCTAGATTTCTTTCAATTTGCATTCCATAGAATTAAATCTGATATGTGATAATTTGTAGTTCTATGTTCTCTTTAATTTGGTTCGTTAGATGCTGAGTGTGTGGCTATGGAAATCTAGTGTGACTTGGTCTTAACACTCGAATTTTGCATGGTTCTTGGAATAGAGTTGTCGGTGCAGAAAGTGACCAACACGTAAATATTTATAGTTTTGCCGTACGTTGTGATCGGATGTGGCCTAGCACTTAGATGCTCGAAGTTTGCTGTGGGGTTACAAACGGAAGGGAGAAAGATGGGGGGCGTAAGAGGTCCGGTCGGACTCTGGTCTGAAGGGTCAAGAGCGACAGGAGCTCCGCTATGTGCTAAGTGTTCGAGCGTGAGCTCCGTGTAGCTTTAGAGTGTCTAAAGCTAGGAGAGGGTGAATTGATGTAAGTGAACTGATGGATCTCCCCTGTTGAGAGAGAGCGCATCCCCTTTTATAGATGAAGGAGATGGCCTTACAAGAGAGAGAGAGAGAGAGAGTACGTATGCTACTAAGTCTTGTTGCCCACGCCATCAGATATAAGATGATGGTAGGCGCTCATAATACTGTTGTTGTCAGACGCATGTGGGTGGTTTTACCGTGTTCACCGTGTATGGTAAATGACGATGCTCACAATACTATTGATGCCCAGATACATGTGGGGAGTCCTAACGTGTTCGCCTGGTATGGGAATTGATGGCGCCCATAACACTGTAGGGTAAAACTTCGGCGTCCACAACACTGCTTGGGTTCTGACATGTCTGGAAGGTTGCAGGGCACCCTTCTGACATGCCCTGTCGGTACTGTCCTGCAGGTGTACAAGGTACGGTCCTCGGTATTACAGTTTGATTCGAGTGTCCTGCTTTACCTGCTCCGTCCGTTTACCTGGTCCTCACCGAGCGGGCGTCCCCGGTCGGTTGGCCCCAGTAGGCTCAACTGCGTCAGTCGGAGAAGAGCTATAAGCAGGGATTCGGTGCATCCCCGGTCGGAGACGCGGGTCGGAGTCAGAAGCGGTGTTTGGCTAGGCCTTCCGGTCGGAGAGGTGGGTTGGAGTCGAAAGCGAGCGCTCCTTCCAGTCGGAGAGGCGGGCCGGAGTCGAAAACGAGCGTTGTTCCTCTTTGGCCAGGCCTTCCGGTCGGAAAGGCGGTCCTGAGTCAGAAGCAAGCGTTGTTCCTCCTTGGTCAGGCCTTCCGGTCAGAGATTGGATCGCCCTTCTGGCCTGTCGTTTAGGTATTTGGGCCGGCCCAGAAGTTACGCGTCGTTCGCAACGTCGTCTGCTGAGCTAAGCCTTTGCTGAAAAATCGATACATGAGGGACCCCGGACGAACCCCACAAGAATGTTTTAGAGGACTGTCACTAGGGCGTCAAGAGAGTCTAAAATACTCGAGTTGAGAGTAGACAGACCCTTCGAATAAAACTACAGCGTGGTCTTTTTTTAAAGCTCAACCAAACGTCAAATCAAATCATTTCAGATAATTAAATTAAAGTACGGTTTTTTGTTTTCTGGAGCTCGTGTGTGTCACGAAATAAGTTGCTTGAGATTGACGCGGTACATCAATCATCTTATCTTATCTAAAGAGAAGAACAAAGACCCAATTAATGATTGCCCGGGCCTAGATGTGGCCTGAGCATATGGCATGTTTGGTAGACGGCCTTGCCTATTCATTCATCCGACTAGATGTTGCTGAGGTTCCCAGAACCCAGCCGAGATAGATTATGAGAGTAGCAATGGAAACAGGCTAGCCCAGCTCATGTATAGGTTTAATTTTGTGGGCAACCTGTGATAACCCACGTAATTAAGCATAGTAATCCATCAATCCGTGCTCTCTTATGGACTAGAATATTAAAAGACACTGATCAATAAAAATTACCTTTTTCTCTTATAATAAATCTACCGAATTATTGATCTATATGTATTTTCTTTTCCATATCCATATTTTCATTCCTTTGCATAGTGCCTCCTCGCTCATCTCCAGCGCTTCCATATATTTATGGTACATAATTGGCATCGTTGGAAAAATCTTTGAATCTAGTTTTTGAATAAATTTATTTGGAGATACAAATATTACACGTATTTTGTTAAATTTGAGGCACGAAAACCTAAAGCGTGAGATAATTTGGGACGAGTAAGGGCTAGATGATTTGACGCTACAGCTCTAAACCTGCAGGGGCAAAAGCAGCGTGCATCGAGCGCGTGCATGGTGGCAGACTGGCAGGCACCTGCCGTCCGTGTCAGAGGGGAGGAGAGGAGAGCGGTGTGTGGTGTGTGGGCCTGCTACCGCTTGCATGTCTCATCACCTCCGTCGTAGCACATCATCCAACAGCTCCGAGGTCGGCGCCAAGATCTGTGGCGCCGGGTTGGAGCCATGTATTCTGGCGCTGAGGTACCGGCTACGTCAACACCACCTAAGATGCCCTGCTGTGCACGGCCAGACATCTCGAAGTCAAGATCTGTGGCGCCGAGATGTGTTACCTCGGCGCCATAAGTTCTGACACCGATGGCTAGAGTCCAAAGATGAGTTTACGTCTTTCGAGGGGTTAAACTTAATTTTTCTTTAAAAAAAAGGTAAAATTGTAAAAAATTGGGCAGAACCCCCTCCTCGTCGCGCACCCCTTGCCATTATTTATCCCCTCTCCCTCTCCCTCTCCCTCTCCGCAACAAGCCGTCCCCGCTTCGTCCTACGCCGCCGCCGCCGGATTCGCTCCCTTCTCCGGCGGCCACGCCCATTCCCCGCATCCCCACCTTGCGCCCTCCGCCAGCTCCTCTCGGCCGCCGCGCAACTATCTCCACCCCACGATTACAGCGACCACGACACCAGCAACGCCTCCACCACCAACGGGAAGGATCCATCCAGCCAGTCCACGCATACCCCGTCTTTGACTCGCACTTCGCTTTCCAGATCTAGGCGGGCGGGCAGGCGGGCTGAGGAACGATGAACGGAGGCGCCGCCCCACCATCGGTGGCGAGCGCGGCCACGGCCGCCGCGACGCCGCCTCACCGGCGGCTGCCGGACTTCCTCCAGAGCGTGAACCTCAAGTACGTCAAGCTGGGGTACCACTACCTCATCACCCACCTGCTGACGCTGATGCTGCTCCCGCTGATGGCCGTGATCCTCCTCGAGGCCGGGCCCACCGACCCCGACGACCTGCGGCAGCTGTGGCTCCACCTCCAGTACAACCTCGTGTCCGTGCTCGTCCTCTCCGCCGTGCTCGTGTTCGGCGCCACCGTGTACGTGCTCACCCGCCCCCGCCCCGTCTACCTGGTGGACTTCGCCTGCTACAAGCCGCCCGCCCACCTCCAGGTCCCGTTCGAGGAGTTCATGCGCCACTCCAAGCTGTGCGGCTTCTCCGAGGACGCGCTGGAGTTCCAGCGCAAGATCCTGGAGCGGTCCGGGCTCAGCGAGGAGACGTACGCCCCGAGGCCATGCACGCGATCCCGCCGCAGCCCACGATGGCCAACGCCCGCGCCGAGGCCGAGACCGTCATGTTCGGCGCGCTCGACAACCTGTTCAGGTCCACGGGCGTCAAGCCCAAGGACGTTGGCGTGCTCGTGGTGAACTGCAGCCTCTTCAACCCCACGCCGTCGCTGTCGGCCATGATCGTGAACAAGTACAAGCTCCGCGGGAACATCCGCAGCTTCAACCTCGGCGGGATGGGGTGCAGCGCCGGCGTGATCGCCGTGGACCTGGCCCGCGACATGCTGCAGGTGCACCGCGGCACCTACGCCGTGGTGGTAAGCACGGAGAACATCACCCAGAACTGGTACTTCCGGGAACCGCAAGTCGATGCTGATCCCGAACTGCCTGTTCCGCGTGGGCGGCGCGGCGGTGCTGCTGTCGAACCGCGGCGCGGACCGGCGGCGCGCCAAGTACTCGCTGAGGCACGTGGTGCGCACGCACAAGGGCGCGGACGACAAGGCGTTCAACTGCGTGTACCAGGAGCAGGACGGCGAGGGCAAGACCGGCGTGTCGCTGTCCAAGGACCTGATGGCCATCGCGGGCGGCGCGCTCAAGACCAACATCACGACGCTGGGCCCGCTGGTGCTCCCCGTGAGCGAGCAGCTGCTCTTCTTTGCGACGCTGGTGGCGAAGAAGCTGCTGAGCGCCAAGATGAAGCCCTACATCCCGGACTTCAAACTGGCGTTCGAGCACTTCTGCATCCACGCGGGCGGGCGCGCGGTGATCGACGAGCTGGAGAAGAACCTGCAGCTGAGCCCCGCCCACGTGGAGGCGTCCCGGATGACGCTCCACCGGTTCGGCAACACCTCCAGCAGCTCCATCTGGTACGAGCTCGCCTACATGGAAGCCAAGGGCCGCGTCCGCCGCGGCCACCGCATCTGGCAGATCGCCTTCGGCAGCGGGTTCAAGTGCAACAGCGCCGTGTGGCACGCCCTGCGCAACGTCAAGCCGTCGCCCGACAACCCCTGGGAGGACTGCATTGACCGCTACCCGGTGGAGCTCGTCGACGGCTTCCCCACGCACAAGCCGCAGCAATAGTCCCTAGTAGTATCTGTTCTGTTCTGTATCCCACCCCGCCTCCTCTCCTCCAGTCCACTCCACACATCCATCCATCCATGGACACAGAAATCTTAGCCTCAAATCCTCACCTGGCTGGCTAGTGGTGTGTAATGACATATACACGGGGCGAGGGCGGGGCAGCTTTCCCTGGACATGAATGATTGCATTGGAAGAATCTCTAGGCTTTCCCTGGACAGGCCTCCTCTGCTCTGTTCAGTTGTGTAACCAAGTGTTCGGCAGCATCGGGTCTTTGGTGTGTACTTCATGGATCATCCGGTCCGAGTCCGAGCGAGAGCATGGTCCCCCTCCCCCAGCTTGTCGCTGCACCTGAACCTGTGGTAAGCTTGAGTAGTGCTGATGATTGTTGATTTGTTGTATGTACATTTGTCTGTTCAGCCATTGCTGCCAGCTGATTGTCATTTACCGGTACTACTAGCTAGTGGTCCAGTCTCCGGATTACAGAGGAAGAGGGTCCGTTCCTCTCAATTTTACCAAAAAGGAGTGTCTTGAGTGTGCCGATGGACGGATCGATCGAGTCTCTGTTTGTCGTGTTCAATTGGAAATCTTGCTCTTGCTCTTTTTAACTATGCCCTATGTATATCACTGGCCTGCCTTTGATGAGCAGATGTATGCATTATAGCTGTTTTTTTTTTCCTTCAACAGATTATCTTGTTAAATTCCTAATCTCTGAGAGGTGATTTTGTTCACACAAGTTGTTTTACTTCTCTCTGTCAGTTTGTTCAGTTATATTCCTTGTTAAACTGAAGTCTAAAATATTCATCAGCTCCTGTTGTCGGTCTCTCTCTTGGACAACAGCCCTGCATACAGCCATGGCCCATCTGCATCTACACTACCCCCCGACCCTTGGTCAAAGATGAAACTGAGCATCATGTTCCTTGTGCTGGCTGCTGGGCCACGTTATAGTACGGGCCCTCTCTCCAACTCCGATGTGTCATCTTGTCTGGCTAAATGTGCAGGCTGCATGTTAATCAAGTACTCTATTTTCTTATGGATTGAAGTACTCAGAAACCAGATGCAGGACAACTGCTAATGCTGCCAAGTGACATCCGTTGGATACTACTACGAGTAGGATTTAATTTGGAAGGGTGTGTAATTTGCTGAAGCTGGCAGGAGTAATTAAAAAGGACACCGGGCGCCATCTCGCCATCTAGTCTAACAAAGCTGCCTCGACTAGGTGCCTTGTGTGTCTAACTACACGATACGTGCCCATTAAACAAGATACCGCCCATATATGAACCTCAACTTGATGCCAGTATAGCATCGACGATTGCATATAAAAGCTGCTTTTTTTTTGAGCAAATATAAAAGCTGCTATATATGGATGTAGAAGCTGCTATATATATGAATATTGAGGTTCATCTTTTTATGGCCGTATATGAACCTCAAAATACTGCCATATATGAATAATATAATAAAAGCTGCCATACCTGAACCTCAACATGTGCCTCCCTAGCGCTTCAGTCTCACTTTCCGGTTTAGCAAAGGCCCAGCCCATCTGCACTTGCCAAGGATTCTAAGACTGGGCCAGAGTGAGGTCCGAAAATAGAACCCAAGCCCTGAAAGTGACGGGGGGAGCCCAATACCGCCAGGCGGGCCGTGTGTCTGAGCTAACTCGCTTTCCACCCAGATCTGTGATGAAGGGTTCAAGGATAATACCAGCTATTCGACTTCAACTGGTTTGCGGTGTGGCCATGAACCAAAGGTTAATTGTTAGCTAGCTAAAAATTAATTAAAATCAGCTCTAGTATATTTTAAAACATAAGGCTAATAGGTGGATTAATTTTTTAGCAAGACTTCTACCGGCTGTTCGGCTAATGGTTTTTACGGCTCATAAACCAGCTGATGTTGTTCACTATATCATAGTTGATAAGCCGGACCGATAAATTCAAGCGACCAGGACAATCCATCTCCTCACTAGTCACTTACGTCTTCTCTTCGTGCGCGAGATATCATGTACTGACAGGAGTAGTACTACAAGATATAGTACATATACCAATAAATATGTTAACATGGCCACTCCCCACGGGTATGTATTGATAAAGAAAATTATGGCTGAAAGTACTGTTGGTTGATTTGTTGTGAGAGAAAAATATTGTTCATTGGTTAAAAAAATATAGCTTATAAGCTAAACGAACAGGGCATAGACCTAGACCGGGCAATACAGCTTGCGACAACAAAACAACTGAGGCCGCTGATATAGTACTACCTGCGTTTTCTTTTATAAGATGCAACTTAACATGACATGATCATCTAAATAACACTTTGACCATCTATTTATTTATATCATACCTTTTATGTTTATAAATTTATGAAAAATGGATAGTATATTTGACTATAAGTCTAACCTTATCAAGTATATATTATAATAGTTAGAAATTGTAAAACTAAATTATTAGTCAAAAAATTTCAAATCTCAATCTTGATATATATACATGTGTGCCTTATAAAAATATGAAGGTAGTATTATATATACTTAATCAATATGGAGGTAGTATTATATATATATACTAAATCTTTGATGTGAAATGTGTACTCGCTTGTCCAACAATAAACGGCCACCTTATGTTTTGAAGAGTCAACCAATATTAAATTTTACTCAATACATAAAAAGAATATTAGTGTTTACGTACGATACTAAAGAAGCATTATTAGATTAATCACACGCTATGTATGTATTTTTATAGTAAATCTATTTAAAAATACATATGTCATTATTTTTTTTATAAATTTAGTTAAATTGAAAATTAGCTGATCTTAAGCCGCGAGACGTACGTATACTTATTTTAGGACCGAGGTGCTTAAGATGATTGTGCAGTTTGGGGCCCGGTGTACGGCGACTGGTAGTACGTCGTGCGTACGTATTCGATCGCCTGTGTGCCACTGCTCCGTGTGCGGCTCAGTCAGGCGTGCGTGCATGGGTGCATTTGCAGAACGAAACTGCATGCAGCAGGTACGTACCCCGTACGGCGCACATGTAGCGGATGGAGCTGGACACTGCTGGACGGCGGCGGTGTCGGCACTCGGCACTCGGCACTCGGCTCTTTAATTTGATTTGGCTGTGGCCAGCGTCCAGCGCGCGCGGTAAATGGAAATATGGAATCATCATCAGGCTAATGCTCCATCGGCTTTGGCTTTCTCTGCACAACCGATCGGCCGGCTTTGGAAATTAAAGATGGGAGTAGCAGCTTTGACCTAACCAGTCGTTACGACAAGAACGAGCGATGACAACTGATTGAGAGAGACCGCAGAGACGTGATCCAACTGTGTGTAAACTAAATCGAAATCGGCAAAAGCGAAGATAAAATCTGATTTGATGTCGCATGTCCGGGGGACATTGCCTGGTTTCTTGGGACAACTGGTCTTACATGTACAAATTATAATCGCAAGGTTTGGGGGGCACTGGACACCGAGGAATTAACATATCCTGGCCGGGTCCTGAAAAAAGAAGTGTAATTCTATGTTTGAGATTAGTCAAAAAAAAGTTTAAGTTTGACCTATTTTATAAGAAATAATATCAACATTTATGGAGTATCTCTAAATAGATTTACTATGAAATATATTTCGTAATTAATCAAATGGTAGTTATTGATATACTAAAAGAGAACAGACGTTATCATCAACTACCAAAACTCGTATTGATTTCGACAATGACTCATATTTTACAGTTGGATTGACGGAGAAGCTTATTACTAAAAGAGTCATGCAAATGTTGCCTCTCTCTCACTCCAAGATTTCTTAGCATTGATGATTTTCTTGACTTAGATTTCAAAGACATACTTTTAATATGTTCAGAAATGCCTCTCCAGCTCAAAGATTTCCTAACATTTATTCTAACCCCCTAGTTAATATGTTCAGAGATGTGTCTACATTTATTTATTTTTCTTTATGACTTGTACTTTTAATGCAAAACTATCTGTTTGAGGATTCACCAACATAAATATGCATTGAGATTTGGCTTGTTGTATGCTATAAATAGATGTGCCCGTGCAGTGATGGTATGCACAACCGCAGCATCCATCATTTGTAGAGTACTAGCACAAAAGAAATACTAGCAATATCGATACCATACTAGTAGTCCATGATATGATGGCTATAAAAGCAATCATCCATGTCCTAGTCTTCTGTTTAGTTTTTACAACGTTCACAACACACAAAGCTTGTGGTGAGGATGATTGTTACCAAGAAAAAAGATTGGTTATCCTCAGTTGCAAGCAAACCATCGAAATTGGTACACCCATCCGCTCGAGCCAAACACAAAATGCCGTAATGCCGTGCAAAATTCTAACATGCCTTGCATTTGTCGCAACATTAGAGTTGAAGAGGAGCACTTCATCAGCGTGAGCAAGCTTGTTAAACTTGCACGCGAATGTCACAACGCAGTGCCACCTAAAAGCAAATGTGGAAGTAAGTGTGTCTAATATCATCTGTCTTGGTTTAATTTTAGAAAAAAATATCAGTACAGTTCCTTTATTGAGTTATGATTTGAGCAACAAAATTATAAAATATTTTTCAATTGACCAGCGAAAGCAACTTTTATAGTAAATAATAAAATTCTGGATTTTTTTTCTCAGCATGGACTGTTCCACCGCAACTGTCGCCGTAACGCCGAGGGGTCATTAATAAGAGCTTATAGAAGTGAGCAACCGATGTATTAATCATGAAATAAAATGATAAATTTGTACTCGGTTGTTTTTGGTGTCATGTAAAGTCGGTGTCATATAGTATGCAGTGGCATAAATTAATATTACAAATCATTTTCTAAAGCTACTATTACAACACCGCTTGGGGAATATTGGCAAATAAGTCTAACAATTTGGAAAATCAATGTCTCTTCTAGTAATCCTATTATATCGTGCTCGTTGTTTGTTTGCCTAGTAGATCTTCGTCTTTCTCCTTTTTCCTTATTCTACGGGCACACCCTATTTTAAAACTAAAACCAAATATAAACTATATGTATG